GGATATCTCTATGGATTTCGTTGAGGGACTGCCTACCTCACAAGGCAAGTCTATTTTGCTGGTTGTGATAGACCGTTTTTCGAAATATGCACATCTTCTTCCCCTTGCTCATCCATATACTGCTGTGAGTGTATCCCTCTTGTTCTTTGATAATATTTTCAAACTTCATGGCTTGCCTGAGACTATTGTGAGTAATCGTGATGTAACGTTCACGAGTTTGTTTTGGACTGAATTGTTTCGGTTGAGTGGCACTAAATTGGCTTTCAGCTCTGCTTATCACCCACAAAGTGATGGACAAACGGAGGTTGTCAATCACACTATTGAGATGTATCTGCGTTGTTTTACAAGTGATCGTCCTTGCCGCTGGTTTCAATGGCTGCCATGGGTGGAGTACTATTACAACACTAGCTACCACTCCTCTCTTAAAGCTACTCCCTTCGAAGTGGTGTATGGCCGCTCTCCTCCCACAATGTTGTCTTATTGTCCTGGCTTAGCTAAACTTGAAGCCATGGATTAGGAATTAAAAACCAGAGACGTGGTGCTCCAAGACCTTTGCAACCGATTACTTCAGGCTCAAAATTCCATGACGGCAAGGTATGATGCTAAGCATCGTCTTGTTCAATACCAACTGGGCAATCGGGTTCTACTTAAACTCCATCCTCACCGCTAACTTAGTCTCTCTTCCAAAAGATACACTAAACTCTCACCTCGTTATTATGGCCCCTTTACTATTTTAGCCAAAGTTGGTTTTGTGGCTTGAAAATTGGACCTTCCCTTCTCCTCCAAGCTACACCCTATCCGGCCTTAAACCTTTCCATGGAAATTCAGATGCAATTGAACCCTCTTTGCCTATTCTTACACAAGGCGAAATTCACCCTCTTCCGAAAGCTATTCTTGATCCCGTTCAGTTAAAAATCAGAACCAGGTTTTAGTACATTGGGACGGGTTGTCTCCAGCAGAATCCCCTTGGGAGGATGTTCACTCTTTTTGCAACCGTTTTCCTTCTTTTGCACTTGAGGACAAGTGCCGTATTAATGGGGGCGGTGATGTTATGGGCAGCCACGCGGACAAGTTTTCCAAAAGGCAAGTGTATCCAAGGCGTGGCTAAAAAGTAGGAGCTTGAATATGGGAGTTTGTCCAACAATACATTATGTTCTAACTTGCAGATTTCATTTCAAATTTTATTGTTATTTCCTAGTTTTATGATTGTTAGTTTAGATAGTGCAGTAGTGGTGCCTACTTTGTAGGAGTTGGTTATTGAACAGTTTCTTTATATTGTAAGCTGGAATGTTGGGGAAAAGAGGAGGAAAAATTTCAAACTCTTATTTGCATTGAGATCGTTGGGTTCTCTTTTAAACAAGTCCTACCATATTTAAAAATAGGTCATAAAAGAATAAAGTTTGGCAAACATTATTCTTTACAGGTTGATTTTGCAGTCAATCGCCCTGTAACTCGATCACAGTTTTAGGACCGTAACACATACGTTTTAAAATATGTTAATAATTCATAAACAATATAATACATAATTTTAAAATGAATTTGAAAATTTTCGACTGATCCAGAATTTTGAAACTCTATCATGCACTGCTTTTCGATCCAAAATATCCAAAAATAAAGCGATGTTATTTTTTAAAGAACTTTCAAACACATACTCAGCTAACCTACGTAAGAATGAATATCAAAGTTATTTTACCAAAATCACTCAAAAACTGGGTCAAATTGGTCCCGGAAGCCAAAACAGTCATTTTAATCCTCATTTTGATCCGGCCGTCGGATCGACTTAAAATTTTACCGGGACCTCCACACAGACATTACGAAATTTTTGGCACTGACCAGAGGTCGATCAGAGGTCAAACGCTCCCTCAAGCGCCGTCGGGGTGCACTGGTGTACCTCCTCCTTTATTTTCTTCCTTGGTCACCTTGACCAAAAACCCTAGGTTCCTCCCACCAGCCCTAACCGCCTACTTCTCACCCTTATTTCTCCTTATTCAGTACACTTTCTCACCTAATTTTTGAACCTAAACACTCACCACACATCACTCTAACAAACCTAATAATTCTCAATCTTTGAATTAAGTTTAAACCCATAAAAAAAAGGGGTCAAAGTAAACAAAAAATAAGGTTTTTAGTTTATGATCAGACCTGCAACTTGCATATTAACCATCTTAACAACTTCTAAATCCATTTCTAAGGTCACCAATTGATTCCTAAGGTCCATTTTAGCTAGGAACAACCTTCCCTCCGAAGCTTAACCCCTAAAACCAAAAGATCAAAAATTTATCATGGCCAAAACTTCATCACCACCACCCCACCACCTCCGACCATGGCAAGCTTTGAAATTACCACCAAAGTACTCCTCTATCTCCCCACAACACAGTCATGCCAACCAATTTAATCAAAATGACCTAAAACTCAAAACTTATTTCATAAAAACCTAGAATCCGAAAATTTAAAACATGAATTCAAGCGATTGTAGTACATGATATGAAATTCTAATGATACCTGGAGATTGCTAGCCGTCAAATTAGCCTAGTAGCTTACCTCTAATCGTTCGAAGTAGCTTTTTCCACAAATTCGAAATTTCAAAATTTGATTCTCTCTCTAGCTTCTCTCTTCTCCCTCTTTCCTCTCTTGGCAGTTCTACCTTATCCCGAGACCTGCTAAAGTCTTAAGCACCTCTCCTCAATCACTCTAGAAGCTTGGAGAAGGCTGGGGAGAGCTCTTCTACTGCCATGCAAAGGCATTTCTGTAAATAACTCAACTTCTATTTTTTTTAATTTAATTCTAATTTTTTTTACAATTATATACCTATTAAAACATGCACTAAAAAAAAATATTTTCCTATATTTTTCGTACAAATTCATGCTTGGATTTTACACTTGCACTACTAAAATTCTATAATAATTTCCTAATCAAATTCTAACAACTACCCTTAGTCAAACAAATACTCATAAATTAAATAATAATAATAAAACTACAAATTACACTTCCTTTTGGATCAAAATTTTTTAATTTTTTGCCTAGATTTTCAAAGTCGATTGTATTAGTCCAACCAACTAATGGTTGCGCTATCAATTCTCCCCCGCTAAAAAGAACTCGACTCCAACGAGTAGGGAGGAGGGCCAAGAATATCATCTGATGGAGAAGCTCTCTGAATCAATAATGAACTATTTTTCAATTGTAGTGTACACACATCAATAGCACAAGTAAAACCATACTTCTTTCTCACAATAGCAAAAGAATAAGTATTAACACACTCCACATATTGTGCATCACAATCCCATATCCAAGTGCACCCTAAAAGTATATGACAAAGCTTGAGAGGCAACACATCACACATAACGGTCTCTTTAATGTAATTGGACATCTCTTATTAACTTTCAACTTGGTATTAGTAATCCATACTACATGATATGGTTTCGGATGTGGTTCAACTTTCAAATTTAATTTCTTCGCAACCTCTTTTAATACCACATTTGTGCAACTTTCCGTCTCAATCACTAATGAATATATTTGTTATTCATAACAAACTCTTGTCTGAAAGATTTTTCCTCGATGAATAAACTCACATTTAGCAACTTCTTTATTAGCAATGAGTAGAGGACGGATAACACCCATAAAATGATCATTATCCAAATTAACCTCACCCACATCAAGAGGTTCTACAATCTCTGTTTCAAATTTTGGCTCATCAGAATCATTGTGCACCTTAGAAATTTTCTTTTCAACCACAGCATCAGATTTTGAAGGGCATTGAAAAGAGAGAGAACCAAAACCAAGACAATTAAAACATCTCGTCTTACAATTAGTACTCCCTTGAAAAGAATAATTAGCACTAGTCCGAGATGGTTTGTTTGGAATAAAAGTATTCTCATGGAGTTTATTGGTGGACTTACCTTGACTTATATCTACGACAGTTCTCTCAATCCGGGTTGGAGGTGCCATAGAAGATCTCACATTAGATCTCTTTTTCAACTTATCTTCCATCTGATAGGCAACCTGAACTACATCCGCCATAGTGTAAAGTCTATTTGCAGCTAAACCCATAAAAATCTAAGAATTAAGTCCTTGCCTATACATGACAATCATCATATCCTCAATCCATGGGAATTCTAATCGGGTGTTCAAGCTGTAGAACCTTTATGTGTACTCCTCAACAGACATATTCCTTTGATTTAATTGTGTAAACTGTAGATGAACTCGTTGCTTATAATTTGCAGGCACAAATTAGCGGGTCATAGCAATCTTCATATCATCCCATGATCTATCAAAGTGATTTTGTTGGTACTTTTTCCACCAAAGTCTTGCTATACCTTTCAATTTTGATTCTGCAAAGAATACCTTTCTCTCATCAGTCAAACAATGTCAACTGAAGAAGCTTTCAACGCTATGCAATCAATCAAGAAATATCTCGGGATTATTATCTCCATGAAAATCTTCAACTTCTAGCTTTACTTCTTTATCAATATCAAACAATCTCGGTTCTTCTTGAACTTGAGCTTGTGGTGGAGGGGTTTGTATAAGTACTTGTGGAGGATTGATGACTGAAGATGATGGACTATTGTCAGCATTTTTCTCAACTCCTTACCCTTCTTATCTAAGAGATAAATATCCATGATCTTCTTTAGTGATGTTGTGGACACCTCTAGTGAATCTATCCTGTCCTTCATTGCTTTTTGTGAATCAACTTGTGCTTGGGATAAAGCCTCCACTTTGGCATTTAATTCAGCGTAGCAAACCATATTGATTGAAAAAGAGTTTCAAGATTTTTTTTTGAGGTCAATCTATAATTTTAGAAAAATTTGGGGCTAAATTATAATTTTTGAAACTTTTGGGGCAAAAGTGTAATTTTATAAACTCCATGGTTTAAATATATAAATTTTAAAAGGCTTGGGGTATTTGGTGCAATTTCAGAGGTGTGGGATGGGTCTTGTATTTCTAAAATTTTGGGTTAGGCATTAGAAGGAATTTTTTTTTTTTTTAATGGGCTGGTGGTAAACATGGGCTTAGAGTTAGTTTGGACTTGGTTTGGGCTAAAGGGTTTAAGAAGTTGGGTTAGGAAAATATGGGCAAAAGACAAGCCAGTATTGTCTTCTACCTTACGCAGATTACTATTCGCAGCCTTACCTTTTTTTCCAAAATTCAGCGGCAACAAAGGGAGCCAAAAGTGACGATAGAGAATAGTAACGGTAATGGCAACCAATCTGATTGAAGCTTTTTTTTTTCTTTTAATGACGATGCAAACGACTGACTCGCTACAACAATGAAGAATCTAGTGTGAAAGTGGTGAATAATAACTTAGCAAGAAACCAATATATTGAAGCTTCGCTCTGATATCAACTTGATGTAGGACGGAAGAATAATGAATAAGGTAATAGAAAGAAGTAGAAGAGGTACTAAACCCTCGCAAGGATTAGGTCAAGAAACACACAAATTTTTCCACACAGAAACACTTTTTATTCATAATATTTTTAACTAAAAATAGTTGGGATTACACCATTATTTATAGGTCAAGTTCCCTACCAAAATAAAAACTATTCTCCTACTAAAATTCTAAAAGAGTTTTATAATCAAACTCTTAAACCCTTGTACTACTAAAACTCTATAATAATTTTCTAATCAAATTCTAATTACTATCCCTACTCAAACAAATACTCATAAATCAAATAATAATAATAAAACTACAAATTACTCTTCCCTTTGGACCAAAAATTCCTAGTCTTTCCCTTAAGCTTCCAAAGTCGATTGTATTGGTCCAACCAACCAATGACTGTGCCATCACATGTCCCTGGCTGACCTGCTCATAGCTCTCGGGTAAGTTGAGACATGCTTTTGTTATGTAGTGCAGTTTTGCTGTTGGTTGTTTGTCTTCAGTAACAGGCAATTAGGGTATCTCTTGTACTTTTGGTGCTTCTCTTCGGCATGGATGGTAGGGTTAGGACTGCAGGGTTCGGCAATGTTCATGGACTGCGCAGCAATTGTTTTTGATTGGTTTTCAGCACTCTTATTTGTTTAGCATGTCCAGTGTAATCTCCTGGGTTCATCTGATTGATTGCTGCAACTTTTATGGAATATATTATTTTTGCATGATCTGAAATGAGACTTGTTAGGTACGCCCTGAGATGCTTAGTGTGCCGAAATTGTTATTTGATAATTGTCCTCTGTAGTTTGCTAGTGTGCCTTTGGATTTGAATGATGATTGGCTAGCGTTATTGTGATTTCTTTTGCAAAGATTATGTTATGTACCCAGAAGGCAATACAGTACATGACACATGATTGGGTGCCACACAAAGTATATTGCTTACCCCACATAATTGGGACAAGGGCTCGGTTTTTCTGGTTTTGTTATAAAGAATACTGGTTTCCTGCTGGTATGAAAGCACTTTGGGGCCGTTCCTTCCCCTGGGAGGGTGGGTCTACATGGTGGGGTCATATGGGTATCTTAGTGTCTTGGAAGCATTTTCTGCATTTGTGTTCTATGTTTAGATTTCCTATTGTTCACCAAAAAGGGTGATGGAGCAAAGAAAATATCCTTTCTTGGTGAAAGGGTAATGGGAATATGATGCAGTTTCTACTGAAACTGCATATTCATCCTTTCTTGCTAAGTGCATTATCTTGAAACTTGTTTTCCTCTTCATAGGAGGGAGTGAATTTTGACACCGCAGTTTTCCAACTGATAATTTAGGAGCTTGTACCCCTTTTATTCATAATCTACAATTTTTTTTTCCTTTTTCTTCTGATTATTCTGTTGAACTAGCATAATTTATCATATTAGGATGATGTCACCTTATGCTTCCTTCAATTATCATTATTTATTCCCACTGATCTCAACTACGTCAACATTGCAGAGTGGAGATAAAGCCTTGGTTTTGTGCTTTGTTGAGTTTTCTGATGCAAAGTGTGCTCTCACTGCTTTGGAAGCCCTTCAAGGTCCGGGATTATTTCAGTTATTTTAGCTGCATCTGCCAACTTCATTTAGATTTGTGCACATGTTGTGTGTTAGCATCTGTTATTACATATAAAACCAGCTTTTGTCTGCTGTTTGGTCTCTTTTTTAGAAAATGTGAAAAATGTCTTTCTTTTAATGCAAAGGAATATTAATTTGCCAGATATTTGCTTACAGATAAACTTAACTCAGCAAAGTCTTGTTTCAAGTATATGGGGGCATCAATAAAGCAATTCACCTCTTCCTCTTACTTCCCTCATCACTCTTTCTCCCCCAACTCGTTATGCCCCTAAAATACATGCACATAGTAGTACGTGGATCATATTTATCAAAAGATATTCCTAGATTGTGACTGTAACAAACCCATCCAAAACCCTCAGAATCAGGAAACAAAACAAAATGAGATGTCCCATGTAAGACAGTGGATGGCATATGATTAATAAGATAGCAGACAATTAGAACATTACTTCAAATACTTTTAGGAACATGCATATGAATATTCGACCAAAATGACTATACAATCATCATTTCCATGATTCTGATCGCAATTAGCAATGAAATACATCAACAATCGATCAAAATGACAATACAATCATCATATTGGCTTGAATCAAATGAAACAAAAGATAGTCGGTAACAATTTCAATTTCAATCACACCTAGAGGCGAACAACCTCACCACTTCAACCACAGCCAGCCATGAATGAACACCACTCCAATACCAACTCAACAGGTAGCCCATCAATACTCTAGGCATGATTGTGGATTCAATGAACCCAATGGAAAATGACTTTCGCAAACAATAACCATGACAACAAGAATGGGGGATCAAGTGAAAGTTGTAGAGATAAAGGAAGAAAAACACAAGGGAATTACTGTAGAATCTCAGAGTTACAACTGTGATACCGTGTGAATATAGAGGAATTAGGGTTGGTGCTTAAGAGAAAATGGAGAATGTGTGAGTGTACCACTACCTCCCATTCTATATGTGTGTGTCTATGTGTGCACATAAATATTTATATTTTTATCCACACACACACACACATGTACGCAAAATACTGGAAAGCCTAATATATCCCTTTGGGATATACTTGTCACAGTGATACACAGTGATACTCAATTCATAATAGTCTCTAACAGATCTTTGGGTTATTTTGGTCATTGTAATAATTTCTGGACATTGAGTAATAGACAGTCAGTCAGGCATAAAATGAGTTGAATAATCTTCTTTACAATTTATTTGATGCCTTAGGTGTCCTAGGATTTTTTCCTAGCTGCCAGATATTCTTTGTTTCTAGATCTCGAGTCCTAGTCCTTGTAGAAGTGGGGAGTCTGTTAGCCTCTGAATATATGAGCAATCCAATTTGTTCAATAAAGCTCATTCTGGGAGATTGTGTTTATATTTGTTTGATGTTCCCTAACTCTTGTGATAGGGATGCTATTATTTATCTTTTTATTCTCTCATAATCTTTCAATCTTGCAATTGTTGCCCATTTAAAGCCGTCACTGGATTTGTTTTACCTTCTTTGAACCATATAGAGCTTATATTGCACGGCTCAACCCTTCTCTCTTTAAAGCTTCAACTTTACACAACCAAATAGCCTCTGTCACTGTTCACAGTCCTAAACAGCGATCCAACCTTGCCCTATCTTGCTCAGTTTCAACTATAAAACCATATTATCTTCTTATGCCTTATGAAAACCTGAAAGGCCAAGATTTTACCACCTTTTTCTGCTACAAACCAAGCATATAATCTGCCTCTGATATCCATTTCTTCTGCTGCTCATATCTAATTTTGGTGACTTGTTTTGCATCACATGTAGCATACAGGAAATTAAGTTATCTTCAATCATATAGGCGATACTCAAAATTGTCTAGTGGTGATCAACGGATGCTTTGGAAGAACAGTGAAATCAAAGAATATGGGATTGTTTTGTGGTTTGTTAGCATAAAGAAATAAAAAATGCAACGTTTATGCAAGATTTCGTGGGAATTGTATTGTTTGATATGGTTGCACGTTGTGGGATCTTCTACAGGTTACAAGTTTGATGACAAGAAACCTGACTCCCCTGTCTTGAGGACCCACTTTGCCCATTTTCCTTTCCGCCTGCCTTCTGAACATGATGAGCAACATTTTGGAGGTCGACGATGATCACTAATGTTCTTGTGATGGTGATCTAAGTGCCCTGGGTGGAGCTATGACACAAAATCAATTGTTTATAGGAAGGTTACTTGGGAACATATGTGACCTTATTTTTCATTTGGTGCACATGGTTAGTTCTTGGAATGTGTAAATTTCTGCTCCATTCAAGCCAACATGTGAGACTAGAACTTAAAACATTCAACAGTTATCACGCTATCATTAAGTTGGAATGTAACTTTTCTGTTTAAGTTATTTCTATGTGTTCTCTTAAATCACTCAAGAATTCAATATTATTGCGCTGCGAGCTCTTTCTGTATGTTCTCTTAAGTCACCGGGCTTAACATTATTGTGCTAACTGTTATCATATACTCTTTTATTGAGTCCATGTTTAAAATACCTTCGTTTTTAACCTTTTTTTTTCCCCTAAAAGCATATTTTCAACTTATTTATCAAGTTATGGTGGTTTTCATAAAAGCGTAGGTTGAACCATCGCTTTTAGGTAAAAGTAAGATACAACCTACTTTAGTTAACGAACAAAAATGCAAAAATGCAACAGAAGAAGAAAAAACTCCCTTCCCATTCTTGTTTATCCTTTTTTATTTTTGAGGGAGGACTGGTAAGGTATGTGGTTTGTTCAACATGCTTCTACGGATTTTTTCTATTGATGTAGCGTTTCTTACTGATTGCTGGATGGGATGAAGCTCATCATGAGTGGTGCTGTGGCTTAATGGTAGAGAAACGCAAGAACGGATTTCCTAGTACAATCCCAGGACTGAATCTCAATTATACAAGTGTTACACCGGTTTAATGAAGGAGAAGAAAATACAGAATTTATGATATATTAGCATCTTTGCGTTTACATTAGTATGAATAATGATGGGGAGATCACCAAGAGGGCTTGAAAAAGAGGTTATTTTTAAGAGTTGAAATGATGGAGATTCAATTTTGGATGTTGAATTGTCGTTTTACTAAAAGAAGGCGTGAACTAACTGTACGTGAATTTTGGATAATGAAGGTAACGACGATGACAAACAATGATATTTCTCTAGCAATAGTTTACAGAACAACTGGGGAAGGCATACTTGGAAGTGTTCTGTTAAGACAAAACATAAAATAAGCAAACTGAGGTTGCACCATGTGGTAAAAAACAATTGATATCAGTAGCAGCATATAATTCCTCTTCCAGGTGGCCATTATTTGCCTCCGAGTTTAGTCCAATGCAGCCATGACTATTAAGGGTGTCAGTGATTGTTCATCTTGACTTTGTACCGTAAGGGGAGGAATAGGTCTACTAAAATTTGACACGACACGATTAATTGATACAAATTAAAATGAATTAAGTGAGTTTGAGCGAGACTTTAACGAGTTCAGGTGATAAACGAATTGATCCGTTAGACAAGTTTAATAAACGGATCATATTTGGATGAGTTTTGTCAATCTATTTATCACACATTTATCCGTTTAAATAAAATTAATATAATAATAAATTAATAATTATTTTAAAAAATTAAGCAGATTTTTGTTTAATGACAGTCCCAGAAAATATATATATATATTATNTTTTAAAAAATTAAGCAGATTTTTGTTTAATGACAGTCCCAGAAAATATATATATATTACTTTTAGTGACAGTCACAAAAATATAATAAAAAATTATTATAAATTAAAATTAAACAGGTTAATCATGTCGTGTCGTGTTTGTATTAAGNATATATATATATTATTTTTAGTGACAGTCACAAAAATATAATAAAAAATTATTATAAATTAAAATTAAACAGGTTAATCATGTCGTGTCGTGTTTGTATTGAGATTTTTTACCGATTTATTAAATTAGTCGTGTATAAATTTATATATTTTTTATCCGTCACCTATTTAACTCAAAATATAATTACTTAATTCGACGCGTTTGACACCCTACGTGAAAGTCACTGGTTGATTAGAAAGAAAAAACAAAAAAGCCTTCCCGTCTCAAGTGAGCTGTGAAATTTATTTGCTATAGTCAGCATGTTTCCAGTATCTCAAGCTGTCCACAAATTTCAACCCAAGTACTTTTACAGTCTTACGCTTCGTTTGGTGTAAGATGAAAAAATTGAATGATAAAAAATTGAAAGGATGAATAGTGAAAAAGATAAATAAAATATTATGGTTGATAAAAAAGAAAAATAGAAAGAAATAAACAATAGATGGATTAATTTTTCTTCCACCTCACTAAAATTAATCTCTCCAAAATTGGAAAGAAAGTGGATGAAAAGTTAATTATTTGTGTTGAGATATATCTTATTTGTCTATATATCTTTTAATATATACATATATTACGTATACATTAATTTTATATAAAAATATAATGATAAAATATGTATTTATATATATTTTCAAAAAAAATAAAAATAAAAATAAAAATTTTAAATTAAAAAAAAAAAATTTTCCATTTTAACTAGGGATAAAAATTTTGGACTCAACACAATGNCTATATATCTTTTAATATATACATATATTACGTATACATTAATTTTATATAAAAATATAATGATAAAATATGTATTTATATATATTTTCAAAAAAAATAAAAATAAAAATAAAAATTTTAAATTAAAAAAAATATTTTTTCCATTTTAACTAGGGATAAAAATTTTCGACTCAACACAATAACACAACTCAAACTCGATACAAATTTTGTGACACAAGTTTGATTATAACTTGACGCGAACTTGAAAATAACCTGGCACGCGAATAAGAAATATAAAAGGCTCGTAATTTTATGATTCAACACGAATCTGACACGACATGGCTCGATTGTCACCCCTAATCTTAGTTAACACAAAAAAATTAAAAAAAAAATTAGTCATTTTTATTTTTATCCGTCTAACCAAACACAAAGAAAGAAAAATGTAATATTGTTACTTTTCATCCTTAAAAGATAAAAATTATATCCCTCCTTCCAAATGGAAGTGATTCAGCCATCGTACCATGAAATCTGAAAGTAATTGCTTTGAATCATAACTCGGAATTACCGCTGAGAGAGAGAGTTAGTTTGTAATGACGATCAGTTTATTTTCATTTTTCAATCTTCGGTATTACTTACATATATATCCAGTATGCAGAATCGTTTATGGTACAAAAAAAATATTATATTAATATATATTATTTTTGTAAATATTTTTATCATTATTTTTGATATTTTTATTACTATTGTAGTACAAAAAGAGTGATAAAAATACTCATAAAAATAATAAATTATCCACAAAAATAATAATTTATTTATACCAAAAAAAAAGAGTAAAAATAAATATCACGGCAGTGATAAATTACCTACAAAAATAACAAAAACACACGTTAGTGTTAAACACTGGGAACTGACCAAGATTGTGAGGAACCGATCCAAATCTTCATTGCATTAAAGAAAAGTTGTCCTTTTATTATATTATTAAGTCATATTTGGGATAAGGAGTTATCTTTCCATCATTCTCGTCCCGACAGGGATGCATGCGTGAGTGTGGCAGGAAGTACACCATCCATCATGTTGCTTATCTGTGACAGATCTCTAAATATGTTCTGAATTATATTATTTGGACAAGATGATTTGACAAAAAATTTTAGTTTAGTTTAGTTCAGTATTACCTTTCAATTGAAAATACATTCCATCCAATATTAAAAAATAACTGCCAATCTACCGACAATCATTGAATAACTAGCATTACTTATTGCTTTTACCGTCAAAGCATAATATCTATCCACCATACACGAAATATAGACAAGAAAAAGAATGTGGAACCCAAATCACCATGTAACCAAACATAGGAAACAAATTTGTAATTTGATAATGTAAGAATCTCGTTACTTGATTATACAAAAATAATAATACACATAAACTACAAAAAATGAATAAGGTTAATTAAAAATTATCTACCGGATAATCACCAATTTATAATCTAATCGATCATAATTACTAAATTAAAAAATTAATATGTGAATTATATTGTTAAACTTTTTTTTTCCTTTAGAAGAATAACCTCCTATGAATGAATGAATGAAATATTTGTGCAATCAATACTTCGATCCCTTCACCAAACCCAATCGTATTAAAAAATTGATTGAAGTAATTAAAGTGTTTATTCATCAAAAATAGTGTGTGCAATTGTAACTGTATGTGTACAAAATTAAAGCAAAAATAAAAACATCCACAATATAAGAAATTTTTAAGCAAAAATTCTCTTAGGAAAAACCACGGAACAAGCACCAGCTTCACCTAGCCTAATTAATTATTCAAAAATTAATTTACAAATACTCAAATCTTATACATCAACCAATTCGTCCATAGTTAGATAATCATTTTCTTATCAATCATTCCTTTAGATATATCACTCACCCAAGTCTTGAATAGCTTCACTTTGGCGTGCTTCCCGCAATGAACCATCTAAACCGCGAGCAATTTTCAAAGATACTCTCCCAATACTCTTTGTATGCATACAACCAATGTGGATTTAATAGAACACCAAACAAAATTTCATTCTTCAATGTGTGAAGTTAAATTGGAAGAATCAATATGATTTGAACTTTGAATCTTAGGGATTTAATGTTGTTCTTGACTCTAAAAGTTTAGGAGATTGTTTTGAAGTTTACAATAGAGATTCCCTAGTTTGGAGTGGCTTATGCTATATATATCCTTGAAATTCAAGTACACCTGAGGACCATGTAAACTAAAATTCGTGAAGGACCGCTCAAGCCATGAATAGCGATGAGAAGAAGGTTCGCACTAGAATGAGAAAATGATTCAATCCAGTCAAATGGAGCAGAGATTGCTCGAGCGGCTTGAGGGCAGTATCTACTGTCCAACTTGTTAACCTTTCTCCAATTTTTTTCACTTTTCTCTAATGTTTCTCTAAGTAGCCAAAGACCGTTTTAGTCAAAGACAAGTGAGCAAATGTCGGTCCTTTCTAGTTTTTAAGCTAGAAACCAAACAAAAACTTGACCTATTTGAGCACTAAGGAGTGTTGCTCAAATAAAATCTGATACATGACTCATTCTATGGTTTCAAAATACATATCAATGTTTATAAAAAAAATTTCATTAAAAATCTAAAAGTCATTCATGGATATTCCTAAATGCAATTTCATTAACCTAATTAGTCTTAAGTCTAAAATTAAATAAAGGGTTCTTATGTATCTAAGTTCATTACCCTGTCCAAATCTCTTGAAGGTGAATTGAAGATCTCTTAATTCGGCTTTGAAGCTTAAACTCCTCCCTTCCTCTAAGTTTTCAGAACTAGGTCTTTCAAGCATGTTACCCAATTACAACCAATTTTCTAATGTTGTAACTAGACTTCTTACAAATCTTGGCGAATAAAGATCATGAATTTAATCATCTTCAGAATCTCAGCAATGTTTTACTTTAATTAGAACTGACTACTTGTTCTCCTACAACACAAATCAATCTTCTCAAATCAGAATACATATAACTGTGCATCTTAATACAGAAGGGGAAGGCAAATTATTGTCTCTCTGGCAATCATTCTCTAACCTTGCAAAACCTATTTTTTGTCCCTCTTTTTTCCTTTAAATCTGAGGGATCGTACATATGCCCAGGCTTCTGGACCTCTTATCTAGACTCAAATAATTTATTCCCCCTATCTGTGCTGTGTCATTCAACAAACTACTAAATTTTTCTTTAGCAGGATGTAGACTTTGAGGTAGAGCTCCAACTGATGACTAGTAATAAACTAAAATGATTAAAACAAAGTGGAGTGGTTCAGTTGTTCAACACTACAGCATCCTTATCATGAACTTACAATCAATTTACAATTAGGCTCAGTTGTGACTGACAAAACTGAGAGACAGTGAACCACCAGACCTAAGGCTTAGGCACAATCAATCCAAGATACCTTTTCTAATGCACCAATGATAACGTATATGTGATGCAGAAGCTAGATTCTCTTCCTATAACCGAGTCAGGATGATTCATGCCACTTTTTAAGCAACTATTATGAAATCAATAGGATGACATACATAAGGAAGACATACAGGTTCTTACCAAAAAGAGTTGCAGAAAGACTAATTTTCCAATTGTAACTTGTAAGCATGATGTCACAGAAGCTCAATTACAAAGCATTGATTGGTAAACTAGAAGAAAACATATAAAAGGTTCCGCGACCATGCGAAAGGCTCTTATATATGCTTACGGAGATTATGCTTCCGAAAGCCACTGAATGTTTGTTGATCAATTAAGACAATCATTAACAGTGATCCATTGGAAGCAGAACATGGTACAAAAGAACTTTCAATTGCTAAAATTTCATTCATTCATTGCTTGTTAATTCAAGTATGAGAAAGGGTTACAACATGTCTGTGATGTGTGTGTATAATTGAAGTTTACAAGGAGAATATTCATCCATTTGCAGAACAGGCAAATATATTTTCTTTGGCCTCCTTCGACAAATTGTGATCAAAAGAGCCTACGGTATGATTCCACAACAAAAATGTAACAAGTAATAAGGCATTAAAAACAACTAAAATGCCAAAGGGCGATGAAAGCCCTTTCATGACAGAAAAGAAGTGCCAGCATGGTTATGGTGCAAAAGATTATGAGCAATTGCATCCCTAGCCTTCATTGCACTTACCGATCTCAATCCAACCTCGGGGACCATCTCATCATCAATGAGATCAAACTTCAGTTCCGGATCCATGTCTTCGTTCCTCATTTCACATATATTGTGCAAAACACAGCAAGCCCCAAGAACCACCGGTAAATCCTGTAGTTTCACCTCTGTTCGCTTTTGCAAGCAACACCACCTCTCTTTCAACCTCGCAAATGCTTCCTTAGAAACCCTTTGAACCTCGCCAATTTTCTCATTGAAAGCGTGCTGAGTCCATGTCAAATGTTGCTGTGTAAAGGGCACCAATACCCAATCCATCAAAGGGTACCCAGAGCCCCCAACAATCCAAACACCCTTCATTATCCCTCCATTAGCTCTCTGAAACAATGCCGATTTCTCCAAAACCTGATCATCGGGCATTGAACCAGGCCAACCAATGCACACATCAGTGAACACTCCATTTGGATCAACAACACCCTGAACCGTAATCGAATAAGAAGTCTTCTGATTCCTCTCTGTATGCCTCTTATTAAAATAAGCAGCCACACTAATCTTTGGTGCTATTATGGGTATATGAGTAGTATACATTGATCCCACCACATTGGGAATCCCAGAGATCGTTTCAAATTCATCCTTAATCCTTCTCGATGACTCCTCGTCAGGCCATTGTAAATACTTTGGCATCAAAACAGTCCTAATCGCGGAACAAACCTCAAGAACAAGCTTATGACAAGTAGAAATCCCCAAACCAAACCTTTTCGACACAAGCCTCAAAGGCTCCCCCGTTGCAAGCCTCCATATACACACCGCAACTCTTTGTCTGACCGGTACAGCCTCTCTCAACATAGTATTTTCCTTCGCCACCACGGAGCTTAATTCATTACATATCATTTCAAATGTATCCTTCCCCATTCGAAACGCTTTCTTGAATTCCTCCTCGGGAAATTCAGCACTGTTGCATTGATCCCACCAAGCCTTTGATCTGTTCTTCACCCACAACCTTCTCTGCGGCCCACCTGCCGCCGCTCCACCACTATTTCCTCCGTTGCCACCACCAGTTCTTTTCTGATTCGAATCCTCAAAATCAGCAGCAGCAACAGCGGCGGTGGCAACGGCAGCAGTAACATTATTTCTCGATTTTCTCTTTCGAACCGCGTCAGTGTTTTGTAAATTGTGATGATAATCTTGTAACTTGGAATGATAATCCAACATAGCGCGAGTCCTTTTCTTGTGATTCGCCTCGAATAACAACTTATCTTCTTGGTGGGTTTTTGCCCACTCTTCTCGATCACTCTTTTCTTGCTCCTCAAGCAACAACAACGATGTTATGATCTCTTTCAACCCTTTCGTCTTCACTACTCCTTGTTTTTCACTACCTTCGACACCCGACTCATCGCCATTATCTTTTTGATTGGTGCTGTTGTCGCCAACGAAATTTTCTTTTCTCCTTCGCCTTCTCTTGTTAACTGGGTTGTTGCTCATGGTATCATCCATCTCTTCAAACAAGGAGTAAATATAGGAGGAGAGATGAGCAGCTTCTTCTTCTTCTTCTTCTTCTTCTTCTACAGGAGGAAAGAAAGACGTGAGTAGTTTCATATAGAAAGAAGAGAGAGAAAGAGAGCAAATGGGAAAGTAGAGCCTTTGCTATTCAATTGTTAGACGAAATGTGTGAACGAAGTTATCAAAGTGTGAACACATGGAGAAAGATGAAAATGAGAAGTGGGTTTCAATGTTCATTTATATGTACATTATATATTTGTGTGTGATTGTGATGTATAGATGAAAGAGAAAGGTGAATTAAAATATGGGTTTGAAAAGCGCGCAGAGAGAGAGAGAGAGAGACAAGTGAGGTGGGTGTGAACGCGGCTTTGGGGACGAAGTTTCGAGGGAAGACGACGGATAATGAGAGTTAGGTGTATGACGGTGACCTCTGAAGGGAGATGATACTACGCGGTTGGACAGTTCATGGTGTTTTGTGAAAGCTTATTCCAAATGAATCATCCAATTGGCTTGTTGCATCAATATATTGANCTAAATTGATAAAATTAATAATATGAGGACTAATTTTAGAGATTAAGAATGTTATTAGCCCATATAAAATTATGGTCAAGCTATAAATCAGAAGTCCTGAGTTCGAATCTTGACAAGTTCTTGGGGCCAGACTATGAANATCAATATATTGATTGATCCCCACCCACCCTTGGGAACAAAGTATGGGTGCTTTAGGTAATTAATGTCTTTGGGATTTAGTCTCATATTATTATTTTATAGGGGGCAATTAATTATTTTTCATTAGAATCGACCCATTATTTTGTCANGATTGATCCCCACCCACCCTTGGGAACAAAGTATGGGTGCTTTAGGTAATTAATGTCATTGGGATTTAGTCTCATATTATTATTTTATAGGGGCAATTAATTATTTTTCATTAGAATCAACCCATTATTTTGTCGNTTTTGATCGAACTTGAGAAAAAATTAGTTGAAATGTGCTTAAATTAATCTAAATTTTCCTGATCTTTAAACTAACAATAGAAAATTATGTAAAAATTGGTGATAAATCCATCTACAATAATATGGTNCAAGCTATTTGGTCAATTTTAGGTTGGATCCCATCTTATTCCATCCTTTTTAGAGATTGGATTCCGCGCAAATTAAACTTAATTCAATGAAATTTCATAAAGTTTTGGGTAAACTACATCTGACATCTTTGAGATTTATTATTTAATGAGTAATGTTTTAGACTTGATAATCATAACCATTGAATAGGTAGTGGATCCCAATAAATGCTGGAACTCACAGTAAAATCAATAATTGAGATTATCAAGTCTATTTTTTAAGTTCATATAACATTGCTCTTATTTAATCACTTAGATTCTCTCATCTTTACAATATTACATCTACACCCTTAAATTTTATGCGTGTGAAATACATAAATCCCTAAGATCAATGATCATTTGAACAATTTTGTTTATATAAATTTCTATATAGATTTGTCTCCACAAAAAAATTCTTTCATATAAATCTAATCAATAATTTCTCACATTTAGAATAAAATTTCTTTACTCCCAATTAAGTAAACTTAAATAATGTTTACTTAGTTAAATTCCTCAACATGTATTTCAAAAGTTATTTTGAACGTTCTCCCTCCCTATTGTTGTCTCTCCTCTTCCACCACTTGTTATTTGGCCATGTTGATTAGTAAGATTATCATGTCATATTTTTATAATATGAAAATTAGTCTAGAAGAATTGTAAAGATAATGTTGCTCTATTATAATCTAGCCATCTGAGATTCAAGTTGCGGATATATTTGGAAAAATACGAGGTAAGATTTTGTCTATCTAATCATCTCTAGAATTTGTAGTACGGGGAGCCTATTGGATCACCTTTTTTTATTATTTATTATTTGTTCAAACTCTTTAATCTTACTATTATTAAAAAGAGCAATGTTATTTTTAATTTAATTTAGGGAGGTAATTCGAGGATATAATATATTGTCATTATTAAATTAATAGTGAGTTCTCAGCTTTGAATGTAGTCTTTTTGCTAATTGAACGGTAACAATACTAATTTGGAATCGTTGGAAGTTAGTGGACCCACTGATCTAACCACCTATACTAATTTGGAATACAAAATTTAATAAATTGTTTGGTAAGCATAACATTATTCATATTCAACTATGATCTTATATAATGGAATTGGATTCTAAGTTGAGTATTAGATAGCCCTTTATAATTTCGTTTCGTCAGGTCATAATAATTGTGTTTTTATGACAGTGATACAATATTAGAATTTAAAAAATCAACATTTTTACCTTTTATGTTTGGATTTTGTTTTCCAAACATAATGCAACAAGTGCAATTTTTGTGTAATCTCGTGGGGAAGAAATGGATTTGTTACCTTCTTTAAAGAAGTATATGGATCCGTTAGGTTTGGGTATTACGGGGTGAGATTTGTATTAGATAAGTTCATTTATAATTTAACACCAAGTTTGGATCAAATTATAGGATCTAATCTTAATGACTCATTAATTTGTACCAGTCCAATGCTACATTATTATTAACACTACATAATTAGTATAAACCAATATTGCATAGCAAGTAGTACCAAATGAGACATGATGGATACTAATATTCAAAATAAGCAAAGTACCCATGATAGGCTAGAAATTCATGCATTTATGTAGGACACTTTTGTATTTTTAAAGTTAATACTATACATTAATTATTCATCTAAATATAGGATTGATATAACAATCATGTACTATAATTATTCAAATCTTGATCCAAAAATAAAATAATTGAGATAAAATAAAGTAGTAGATCAATTATTACAACGAATATGAATTGAACTAAAATTAATTGTGCAATGCAGTCCCATATATGTATGTTATAACCGAGCCAAACACACTCTTGTATTGTTGTTTTTATTTAATTGTTCCAACAGTAATTTATTAGATTTCACATGTTTTTACTCCACGGTTAAGAGTTGCACCAATTAATTCTGTTTTAAATTTAGTGACCGCCCGCTACATATATTCGAGAGATACATAATTATTCATAAACCACATTTCTCAAGTCAACCAAGACATGTGATGCAAAACTCTAGTTAGATTGCAATTAACCACTACCCAAACTTGCTTCCATAATATAGCTCTCAACTTGAGCATTGGAGTCAATGCACCAATAAAAAATCTTATATTCATTTTTTGAGAGCAAAAGTTTGAATGATAAGTTGTTTCATGTGAACACAGAAATAAACAAGAGAAAAAAAACAAAAAAAAGTGAAGCTCTTTTTTCCGTTGTACATGGAGAAGTTGATGAGAAAGAGAAAAGAAAGTTACAAGAATATACAATTCTTTAGCATGAAGAAATTGGATTTGACAAACAGTATAAATAAGAACGAACCACAAAGTCAGCAAAGTGAAAGCATATAAAACATGAGGTTTGACACCTTTCTTATGTGTAACGTCTAGAAAATTACAAATTGCAATTCTTATTTAGATTTGATTGTCTTCTTTTGCCTTTTTGATTTTGACTTTATATCTCATGAGTTATATCCCACAATTTTGAACAATTCATTTTTTAAGTGAATATGGAAAAGATAATGGAACAGTCTTTTCTCTTTTTTTTTTTTTTTTTCCTTTTCACTTCTTGACTAAAAATTTATTATCATGGCATTGAAATCCAGATCTTTCTCATTAATACCCATTCATTATCAAAATTAATATACCTTATTTGGGGGTGAAATCAGAACTACTTTTCTAGCAAGTCAACGCGCTTTCGGGATGAGTTTTGGAAACTTAGGATGTCATTTTTTGTATTTTCTAAAAAATTTGGAGATTTTTTCCTGCCTTTTCTTGTTTGTATCCTTAATTTGAACTTCAAATTTCTAAAAATTGGTATGCGGCTGGCTGGTCTTTATAAATCTAAGATAGACCCTGAGTGAACTAAATATTAAAGTATTATTTTATCAATTGGATTAGTTAAAAACTTGTAACTAAATATGATCACTCAAGACTAAATTCTTGACTCTATCCTTGTTCTTGAATTTCTATGGATCTCACTAATATATTAGTGAGATTTGCAAATTTATAGATGATCGCACCTGACCGGCACTAATAAATTTTAGAGTTGCAAGGATTAGAATCCCTGAAGTCTAAATATTTTAGATGGGGGAAATTAATACCTAAATACTAATGATGAAGGAACATCAAGTTCTTATAAAGCCATTACATATTCACATTTAAAACAAGTTAAAATACAACATAGAATAAGATAACTCCATAAAACATAGAATAAGACAACCCCCTTAAATTGTGTAGCAATAGCTGCAATTGGCTTCAATTATAGAAAGTGTAATCTGCATAAATTCTATGTGGTTCGCTAAAATTAGCATTTAATTTTCTTGTGTTTCAAATTTATGTACGTAACCTCTGTGCAAGGAGAATTTTGCATTAAAAGTTACCACTTTGTACAGACAATGTGGACGGTGAGAAAGTCTTGAATAACCTGCAAGACAAGAGAACACACAAGTGAATCGATGGCCAAGGGTGACCAAAGAGACTATGATGCTTAAGTCACCACCTCCTATGGGATTGATGGGTCATATCTAGTTTGGGAAGATGTTTCATGATCTGAGAGCGACCTCCTAGTTCTTAAGATCATGGAGAAGTTCCTTAGTGGTGGTAGTTCGTGTCTTTCTAACACCTGTGTCCCCCGTTTTGGTCGAATGGAGAGGGTCACCACGAGTTGAGATGTTTGATGCTCAAAGGAGGCAAATCCTTAAGAAATGCTAAATAGCCTATTGAGCAATTGTAGAAATTGTTGGTCATCCATCGAAGGCTGAGTAACTTAGATGACAACTTTAGATGTTGCATGGAGGCAAAATAGCCTAGAGGGCAACTGGGAGGTTGTATGTTGGCCAAGTAGCCTTGAGATGGAGATTGGTTGGAGGTACAACCGTAGAGGTTAGCTTGAGGTACAACCAAGGAGGTTGGCTTGAGAAACAACTAAGGAGGTTGTCTTGAGGTGCAACCATGACGGCTGCAATAATACAAATAG